CACTAACTACTTCATCAATTGAAGAATTTCATTGCAGAACTCTAGTTAAAAAGATGAATAGGAGATTCAACATATTATCGGTTATTTGCCTGGTGGCAAGCAGTGAACCCATATTTGGAGAGAAACAATTCAAAGGGCCACACACTGACATCGAGTCAAGTTGCTGTCAGAAAAAAAAGTGCTCAAATCATAATAGAAAACCAGCAAGCACTGAAGTAGATATGGACAAAACTTCTGATTTACAGAAGAGTGAACAAAATGGAAGCAGGAGAAAAGTAGACAGCTTACAGAACCAAGGACTTGCTGAATTCATTGTAGTATCATCACAAAGGGAAATTCACAGGTTTCATTTTTCAAACACCACTTAGGACAAAGCAGGGAAGAATAAATAGCTTCATCTCCATGGCAGCATTGTAGACAATTAGTAGACACAGACGGTCTACACAAGGTGACAGGTGCCCAGTTTTCAGCAAAAAAAAAACAAACAAAAAAAACAAACCACAGACATATAGGTAAGCCTTATCTTAATGCATTATTTTCCTTTATACTAATTTTTTTCTTTTCATATCTAAGAATATGATGAATTACGTGGTACTGTGAGTACAAGAAAAATTTAACACTTGCACAATATGTAGGAAGATGAGATGACAATTTCTCACATTTTAAGAGCAAAATAGTAACTGAGTGGATACAGCAAAGGCTAAACAATTTAAATTAACAGCACATTTATTGTATATCATTTCTGCAAATGAGTTTTAAAGTCACTGGTCATACTGTTCTTGGTGTAGTGTGAAGGAATTTCCAGGATATTAGGAATTCCCAGAAATGAGAAGATATGCTACTAACAGTAAATTTTTCTTATTCTGGGATATAACCAATGCTATTTTTCTTTTTCTATTTTTGCTTTCTACTTTAAGATTGCAAGCATTTAGATAGATTTCATTCTGAAATTCAACCTCTGGGATTACTATACCAACAGATTCAGTCCAATTTCTTTATATTTTGATGCTTAACTTGAAGGTTATTGAATATTTAACATATTAAGATGCCATATACACACCAAATGAATATTGTTTGTGTCTGCAAGCCTGAAATGACCAATAGCTGACCCTTCAGCAGGTTTTTCAGAGGCAATAAATTGCACTTTAATGTTTCATATGAGTGTTAAATATAATACAAGAAACATGAATGCTTCTTAAGATCATCCAGAAATACTTTCAAAATCTTCAACCAATCTGAAATATCTATATAATGCACTAGCATATCTTTATGCTTTGACTAGTTCAACTATAATTTGATGGCTTTGAAATCTTAAGAGTGTAGGAATTTATTATTTAAGGTATCAGTGCTTTCCATATTTAATAACATTCAAATAAATTGCCTATCATCCTCCCATAGTGGATTCAAACCATGTGCCTTTGGGAATGCAGTACAGCTTCTTACTGCTAGGCCACCAGAGTTCCCTAAGTGAATGCAGTCACTGTTGTTATGTGTCATCAAGTTACCCGTGACTCATAGTGAGCCTATGCATAACAGCTCTGAAGCCTGCCCTATTCTGAACTGGTCTCCCTGACTCTGACACACCTAATCCCATCGCCTCAGTTATTGAGGTGAATACTAGAAATTTGAATTTAAATATTATTGTTAAGGGTATGGAGAATTGCAAAGCTTCAACTCTTATAGTCTTAGTTTTCATGTGTTTATTCTGTACATATTTCTAATTATGCCTTTCTGGTTTATTGACATTTGAGCTGTATATTAACTACTTTACATACAGTAAAACAAATTTGATGTTTTCGTATGAGTGTTCAACATAACACAAGAAATATAAATGAAATGCCCCTTAAGATCCCCCGGAAATATTTTCAAAATCTTCCACCAATGTGAAATATCTATACAATGCACTAGCATATCTTTCTGCCTTGATTAGTTCAACTATATTGCTTATAATTTGATGACTCTGAAATCTTAAGAATGGTTATGAATCCATTAGTTAGAAGATCAGTGCTTTCAAAATAATAACCTTCAAGTTTTAGTTCATAGCTTTCATTACTAGTTTAAGAAATATTTTCTATTCATTGATTTAATAAAACAATTTATCCATAGATTTTTTAAAAACATGAAATGCACTAAGAATAACCTCATTACTACTAAAAGAAATTAAGTGTAAAATCAAACCACTTTTAATCCACTTTGTATCCTGAAGTTAAAGTCTAACTGAGCAAGTTCAGAGTGTCAGAAAACTGTCCTGCAACTTTATTTATTGAATAAACTTAAAGTGTCATGCATGTTGTACTAAATGCTGTGTCAGAGATTAAAGTAAGGGAAAATTTTCAAGTAAAGGTTTTATCTGAGAGACAGTAACTGAGAAAGTCATATTGCAAAATCATTCTGCCTTGAATTGACTCCTATCTTACTTAGCTATTTGATGATATATATCTGGTATAAATTTTTGATAAGCTGTTAGATCTATAGGATTTGACAAGCAATGATACAAGAGAACTTTTGTAATTTTTTGTAACTGTGTTTACAGCATTGTAGAAATAAAGAATTTGGTTCTAGTGCCAAAGGAAACCAGTTAAAATGACTATATCAAACAGTTTTTCTGGAAGCTTTCATTTGAGAGACACAACTACAACACTAAATTTAGCTGTTTCAATTTATTTAATTGAAGACAGATGCCTATAATTCTCTTAAGTCCCTGCTTCATTTAACCATTTACAAATCATGTGATTACTCCAATTTCATGAAAAGAAATATTATTGCTGGATGTTGAATTCTCTTTTCTTTTCCATTTTAATGCAGGAACAGCCTGTTCCAGCTACTTCACAGTAGAGGATTACTAGGCCCTACTCATCTGGGGTGGGTATTGTTGACAGCTGCTACTATGTACACAGGGTGTGTATATCTCTGTGAAAGAGAGACAGGGAGAGGGGCATAGGAAAGAGAGTCTATCCTGGCAAAGGTGTTTGTAACAAAAAACGCAGCATAATCACTATGAAAAATGGGTAATTCAGAACAAAAAACAGTTTTAGATTAAATCTCTGATCATTAATAACATCCATTGTAATTTCTATTTCAGATATGACTATTAATACAAGTTATTTGGTAAGAAATCTGAAAGGAAAATGTGACATTAAAAATTCATCTTGATTTCTAATTATAACAGTAATTATCATTCTCAGGGTAAGTGTGTTCAAGAATTTAAAACTCTGGGTTTTATATACAGTTTCATTTTTGGAAAGACCCTGATAGCTTTTTTCCAACTGAGAATCCAGTGTAAATTGTAGTATTAACATTTGGGCATGATTTTTCACTATATGTTCAGAGTTTACAAAATTGAATTAAGAAAAAAATACACAGATATTTGAATTTATTGTATGAATGGCATTTATGAGTCTCTGGACTGAAAAAAAAATGTGCATATAGCCAGAGAAGAAAATTGCAAGCTTTTCAGGATCAGAGCTATCTCGACAATGAATCAAGGAAGTGAAGCCTTCTCATGGCACTAATTAATTCTTCTGTTCCATTTTATCCCAACTATAAAGCCACTACCAATCTTGCAAGGCCAATGCCCATATCTTGAGACAGCCATATGCTTTGTTCAAACAGATATCTGCTCTCAAGTGCCCCAAAGTACAAGCCATAGATCTTCTTTACTTGGGTTTAAAGTATGAGATATGATGTATGTCTCTTGAAATAAATTTGCAGGGCTTGCCTTTTCACTAAGGTGCTGTATGATTTTGACTACATTTTCCATTATAAGTTAGTGAACCAAAGGAAAAACAACCCAGAAATTGCATTTTGTTTACAGGAGTCTAAATCAAACCTTATTTTGGCTACTTGTGGGCTTTTTCTTTTGATGGATTAAAATTCCCTACTAGGACTATAACATTCAACAACTGAATGTTATTGGAAAATGACCACATAACATAAAATTTACTATCATCACCAATTTACTTACCCTTAATAAAAAAGTTGAGTTCCATGAATTTCCTATAGATAAGAGAAGAATCTAGTCACAACCCTAGAGATGCACCTTGCCTCCAAAGGAGGAAAATTTGCTATATAACTCTGTATTGTATATAGGTAGTACTCCTATTCAAAAGCTTAGCTATATTTTTCCTAGTGTGATTATAGTGAATTTATTACCAGGTATATTAAGGTTTACAAAGACTTATCTGCATGTATTTATAAATATTGATATTTGGCATTTTATACATTTAAATGCTTTTGTTTAATGTCATCTGACCTAGAGATGAGTCAAATTTATTTTGTTTTTTTACATTATTGTTCTTATTACATATTTGAATCTTGGGCAGTAACAGTGTTCTTATTGCAATAAATCAAATACAAAGCAAAAACCAAACACCTTGCTGTCTATCTGATTATAACTCATAGCAACCCTATCGGACCAGGAAACCCTATCCTAGGCTTTCCAGTGGAAACAGACTGGCACACCTTTCTCTCTTGGAGCTACTGGTGGGTTTGAACTGCTGATCTTTCTATTAACAGCCACTTTAGTGCTGCATCATCAGGGCTCCCTTAATGCAACAGGACTAGAATTTTTCACAATGTTTTGCTAATAGTGTTTTTGCTGTTTCTCATATAAAGCAACATTTCTAATGAAAATACAGCAGTGTGATAAATTGAGACAGTAATACAAAATGACATGTGTAATGATAATGCTATTTCTAGAAACATAATATTAAAAAACACTCAGTGAATATTATTTCCTCAGATGTAAAGTTGTAAATGTCCTGTTAGGCTTGCTTCTTTCCCCTGGCCCTTTCTTTCAAATCCATATATGTTCTATTTATAGAACTTGATACAGAGGACTTCAAAATTTTGGATAGTAATTTCCCATGTTTAATCCTTGCTTTCTGTTCATATGTTCTTTCTCTTGCAGGCCTCTCAGAAGAACTGTGCAAGTCAATTTCCACAGACTAACACCTATGCATACTCTAAAGGCCTAGAAGGGCTCCCATATGCCTTCCGTGTCAATCTAACACAGACGAAGGCGCAGGGCGAACACAGCAGTTGGGACGTCGAAAATTCTGCAGCATGGACTGGAAAACGCTGTGCTGCCTTCCTTTGAGCTTTTTATTTGAAGAAGTATCTGAGGAAATGGATCTCCGGCCCTGGCTGCTCTGTGCTTTGATTAATTTCTCATGTTCCCTGATTTGTCTTTGTAAGTGGTTCTGGATCGCGATCCCCAAGGACTCCGGGTCCAAGGAAGCACCATACACCTCCCAGGTCATGCCCTGCTCGTCCCACACCACGTCTCTTACGCGCTTGGACTGTTTCAAGTGGAGCCTGGAGTCAGCACCAAGGTGCTTTTTCTTCTCGCTGGGAGTGAGTCCCACCTGAGCAGCAGCCGCTGTCACATTCAACTTCTGCTCTTTGAGGAACTCGCTGACCCGGCTGGCCCGGCGGGGGCTGGCTTTGACAGAGCGAGATGGGGTCTTCTTGCCAGAATTGGGGCTAGAGTCACCCATGGAATCAGAAGGCAGGCTCAGGCTGGCGGCTGTCTTGGCCTGTTTATTTTCTTCCAAGATGCTCTCCTGGGTCTTTCTCATTGAGGAGGGTGTGGGATTAGCAGTTGATCCAGTGCCTCCGCTTTCTTGAGATCTGGGATTGAGCAGTGGGGTTTTGGCTTTTACATCCAGGGGCTCAGCACCTGCAGCCTCTGACTGTTTTACTGCCTGGGGAGATGCAGGCTTTTCCTCTCCGACACCTTCATTCTCAGTGGCTCCCAAGTTTTCCAACTGGTCACCTTTACTGATGGGAACACAGGAGTTGGGTTGTTTACAGTCCTGGTCTGTGTGGTGGCCATTGATGATTTTCACCGTAAACTCAGATGGCTTAGCCTCACATTGCCCCAACTTATGGTTTATTTCACCCTGGCTGACAGTACAGACAGAAATCTGATCACTAGGCCCAGCTTTCAGGGACCCAGAATTAGTACCTGAAAGCAGTTGGGAGGTTGGCTCTCCTTTCTCTGGAGTCATTCCTGGGGACTTCCCACCTTCTTTACCTTTGTACTGAGTATTACTGGATGCCACGCTGATTGGTGAGGTTTGAAGACTCTTGCCTGATAAGCCCACTGATTTATTGCCTCCTTTCAAAGCTGTGGAAACAGCTGTGGCTACCTGGATGTGCACTTCTGGCACGATGCCATAACATGGTGGGGCTGGAGTGCTGTCGGAGAGCTCCAACGTGTGGCTCCTGCTGCCACCGCCATGACAAACGACGCGCAGCTGCTCTTTTTGCTCCCAATGCGTGGAAGCAGGCATTTCTCTTAAGAAGGCAGTGAGAATGCTGGGACTTGTGGAGACCGATCTGCTTTCCACACTGGCCACTGCCTGTACCTCAGCGTCTCGCTGAGTCCTATTGGTAGCATCCTTGATTTCGTTTTCAGCTTGGGTAGTCATTGTGCTTGCCTCTTTGAACCTTGAGCCCTGGTGTGATGCTGGCTGCAGCACTTGCTCTGGGCCTGGGGGAAATACTGAATCGTTGCTAGAGAGGTGGGATGGCTGGGGTATCACAGAAGTCATGGCATGAGCGTCTGAGGCAGTGCCTGAGGGCTGCTTATTTTCTGAACATCCAAATTTCCCAGCTGGAGATCCACAGGACCTGGGATCAGAGTAACAAATGGCTCGCTGCCTCTCCCACTCAGGGCCACCAACCGGAGGAGCTGTTTGACTAGACACTGGGGTTGCTGCAGTTGGAGTCTGCACCATTCCCTGGATAGTTTCTTGTGAAGGAGAATCACAGGACACTTGATCTTTGCTGCTATCCTTAATGCCTTGACTATTTGACTTCTCAGATTGCTCTCCATCAGATGTTCTCTGTGATTTCACCTTGACATCTTCAGGTAGAGTTGAAGAGGTTGCATTGAGTTGATCAGCCAAGATAGCCTGATTGGAACACTGATCGGCTGGCATGGTAATTGGTGCCTGTGTAAGATCCTCTGCTGCTACAGAACAGGAGGTTGTTGTGGACAAGCTCTTTCCTGACAGCTTGATTTTACCAGGAGAGTTAACTGTGGGGGTTACTTTCTCCACTTCATTGAAGACATCAGGAGAAGACATGTCTGGCTGGATCATCTCATGCCCACAAGTTTGCCTTAGGGCCTCAGCCATTGCTTTTGGGCTGAAGTCTGGATCTGTAGGAGCTTCTGAAAGGCCATTGGCATTCGTACTTAGGGGGGCAGATTGTACCTCTCTTAGATCCTTTTCAATTCTGGAAGTTTCAATCAGTGGAGTTTTAGCTGCTCTCAGTGGGTCAGGTACAGTCCCCATGGAATTTTTCTTCAGGAAAACACTAGAGCTTTCCCTGGAGAACTTCTCCCAGCAGGAAGCAGATTTAGCTTATAATGAAGATACTCAGGGATGATTCCTCTGAAGAATCAATCTGTGAATCAAGCAAAAAAAAACAGTATGATTAGCACAGAATATCATTTAAAGGTTTAAAATAAAGAAAAAAAACTACCACACACAAATTTAAGTGTCATTTATAAAAGACCTCAGAATACATTTATTATCTTATTCTCATGTTTGTTTTATATAAACATAGACCTTGAAAATATTTTTGAAAGAAAAATTTAGTTTACACAAAGGACATTTCAAGGAATTTATTTCTTTATGCTACATAGCACATCAACTTTATTTATTTATTTTCAAATCAATTCTAAATGTATTTAGTCCAAGCATTCAATAACTACTTCTAAAGTAATTTGTATAATCTGCTATTCCAGGAAACAGAAAATGCTAAAAAGTTAATTTAATCAAATCAGTAAGTACTGAAATAGAAAGAAACAAATTTGTGGAGACTACTTAGAAGTAGATTCACATTTTTTGCTGTTATGGGCCATTGAATTGCCTGCGACTCTTAGCAACCCTATGTACAGCAGCTCTAGAGCCTGCCCTATCCTGAGCCAGTCTCACTAACTCTGACACACTTATCTCATGTACCCCATACTGGGTTAATCCATCTCATCCAGAGTCTTCCTCTCCTGCACTGTCGTCCCTCCACCCTTCTAAGCATGATGTCCTTCTCCAAGAACTGGTACCTCCTGGCCCTGTGCCCCAAGTATGTTAGAGAGAGCTTAAAAATCCTAGCCTCCAAGGAGAAACTTGGTTTTATTCTCTCCAAGACAGACTTGTTTGTTCTCTTGGTAGTCCATGGCATGTTCAATACTCTTCTCCAGCACCACAATTCAAAGGCATTGATTCTTCGTCTGTCATTCTTAGTCATTGTCTAGTTCTCTGATCCATAGCAAGTAACTGCAAAGATTGTGGACTGGATCAAAGTGCACCTTAGTCTCAAGACTGATGTCATTGTTTCTAAGTACTCTGGAGAAGTCCCTGACAGCAGATTTTCCCAGTGCAATCAGTCTTTTGATTTCATGGTTACTGGTGCCAAGAGTGTGGATTGTGGAGCCAAGCAAGCTGAAATTGTTAACAATCTCAATCTCTTCTCCATCTATCATGATGCTGTCAATTGGCCCAGTAGTGAGTCTCTTTGTCTTTTTTATAATTGTGATTTAAACAAAATTTTAGAGAAAAGTTGGATTCATTCATTCATTCATTCATTGTTGGACATTTTCCTCCCTACTTCCCCTGGTTCCCCCACCTTAGTTCACTTTTTTTTAAAAAAAAAAGCATTCGTTGTATACCAATGAAGGAGTTTTTCTTTTGCTTTTTGAAGAGAGGAGCGAACTGGGGTAGGGGTGGGGTACAGGGAGAAAAGTGCAACAACGAATGAATGAAAATCCAAAATCTCTGGAAATGTTCATTAAAATTAATAAAATAAAAAAATTTAAAAAAATTAATAAAATTTAATTAAAAAGTATTAATTCATTGTTGCATAATTTCCTCCTCCCTCCCAGTCCTCTTTGCTATGTACTTCCTATTCTGGACTGTTATCATACAAACGATGCCTATCATCAATGCCTTATGCTGCATGAAATATCTCGGTCACAAAAGGACAAATACTGCATAACACCAGTTTGCAGGTTTGGGGATAAATAAGGAACACTGCATTGGAACAGATGAAGGAAAGAAATAGTTAAAGGGAATCAAAGTCTTCTGGATGTTGAACTCCAATTCATATTGAAGACTACAGTACTTGACTTTATGCAGCAAGTGCTTCAGGTGCTCCTCACTTTAAGCAACCAAGATTATGTTATCTGCATAACACAAGTTGTTGATGAGTCTTTCTTCAATCGTGATGCCACATTCCTCTTCATAGAGCCTAGCCTCCCCAGTGATCTGTTCTGCATATAGAATGAAAAAGTATGGAGACAGGATGCATCCCTGATATGCTTCTTAGTCCGAGTATGGGTTTCACATATAAGTTTTAATATAACACAATCAAGTGTTCTTGGATTCTTATTCCTTTCAAGGTTCATCACAATTTGTTGTGATCTACACTGTCAAATGCCAGGGCATACCCAACAAAACACAGACATTTCTCTAGTACTCTTTGCTTTCATCCAAGATCCCTCTGACATTGATGATAATGTCTCTGGTGCCATGACCCCTTCTAAACCTATCTTGTATTTCTGGTAGTTCTCTGTCTATGTATTATTCTAGTCATTTTTTATAATCTTCAGCAGAATAAGTGAGAATCTTAAAAAATGCCCAAGGATCTATCTCAATTTAGGATTGAAATATATCCTTATTTATTATAATAATTATGTCTTGTTTAATATAATGCCTTGCTTAATATAACAGGATGCCTTATTGAATATAACTATTTAATGCATCATGGAAAAAGAACACTAGATCTGTAGTTGATGCTATTTCCCAGAATAAATTCTTGATTGTTTAGATGGATTAGAGGTTAAAAATGTAAAATAAATAAGTAAATAAGTAAAATCCTATAAATAAATCTGTGGAGTCAGTTCTGACTCATAATGACCCTATGTACAAGAGAATAAATCCCATGTGGTCTTGTGACCTCCTTAACATCCTTTCTGGTTTTGAGCCCATCACTGTAGCCTGTATCAGTCTGTCTTACTGAAGGTATTCTCTTTCTGACCTTCTGCTTTAAAAGCATTATGCCCTCAATAAACTCTCAAGAGTTTAGCCCCTGTTGATACCATGTCCAAAGTACATGGGAAGAAGTCTTGTCTTTCTTGTGTCTAGGGAGCATTCTGGTTATGTTTTACCCTGATAACCGTATTTGCTTTTATGGCAGTCCCTGGCATAGTCAACATTCATTATCAATACCATAATTAAAATCTTCAGCTTTGCTTAAGAATTTTGAAGCTTTCATATATAAAAGAGGCACTGAAAAATACTCTGGCTTGGGTAAGGCATAGATTAATCCTGAAAAAAGACATTTTTTTAAATTTTAAAAATCAAAACCAACTAACAAAATCCTTTAAATAAGTATTTTATAGTAGATTTTTTCCCAAGTAAATATATAATTTGATTCTTGGCTTCTGCATCTGTGTGCATTTATTGTTAATCCAAGAAAAGGAAATCCTTGCTTTAATCCTTTCTCTGTTTACCATGATGTTACTTATTGGTCGTGTTGTAAGAATTTTTTTTTTAATTGAGCTGCCATCCTGAAGATGTCTTTGATTTTCACCAGCTACTGCTTTAATTCCTCTTCACTTTCAGCAAAGAGGCTATGCCATCAGAGGTTGTTAATAAGTAGTTTTCCATGCTGATACTTTGTTCTTTTTCATATAGTCAAGCTTCTCAGAGTGTTTCACCATACAGATGGAAAGAGTATTTTGTTGTTATTATGTGCCTTCCAGTCACCTACGACTCACAGTGACCCCAGGTACAACAGTTCTGAAGTCTGTCCTGTCCTGAGTCAGTCTCAATGACTCTAACACACCTAGCTGTAGAATATAACACCAGGTCAAACATTTGGTGATATTAAACGACAAAGTATCCCCTTCTCTGCCTTATTGATTGTCCTTTGGTTTATGTGGAAATTCTTCATGAATACAATTAAGCCTTTCAGTATTCCTATTCCCCTAAATGTTATCCACAATTTGCTATAATCCACATAGTTGGATACCTTTACATAGTCAATACAATACAGGCAAACACCTTTTTGGTTTTCTGGTTTTAGCTAAGATCCATCTGAAGTCAATGATGACTTGTTTTATGTCCTCTTCTGAATCTATTCTAAATTGCTGGAACTTTCAGATTTTGGTTGTATATAACATTAAGGAGAAGCTAGTCTTCATTAACATTGTTATATGATTTCCACATTTTCTTAGAACCTTTTTTTTTTAAATGGGCACAAATATTAGTCTCTTCCTGTCAATTGGATCTTGTTCCTATCAATTTTGCTAATAGACAAATTAGCAAAATCAGGGCTGCATCTATGTGCTGAAAAACCTCAATCAGTAATTCCATCAATTCCTAGAGCCTTACTTTTTGCTTGTGTCTTTAATGGGACCTCAATTTCTTCCTTTAATACCAATGTTATATGCTATGTTCTGAAATTACTGAGTTTTAACTAGTTCTTTTTAGTACAGTGACCCTTGTATTCCTTTCATATTATTTGATACTTTGTGATCCAATATTTTCCCTGATGGTGTTGTTATGTGCCATCAAGTTGACTATGACTCATAGCGACCCTATGAATAATGGCTCTGTGCCCTATCCTGAGTCAACTTTACCATACACCTGACCTCACTGCCATAATTACTGCGTCAATCCATTTCATCCAGGGTCTATCTCTTCTGCGCTGACTCTCCACTTTTCCACCCTTGATGTCTTCTCCAACGACTTGGCCCTTATAACAATATGCCCAAAGTATGTAAGATGGAGCTTCAAACCCTTTGCCTCCAAGTAGTAAACTGGTTTCACCCTCTCCTGAACAGACCTGTTTGTTCTCTTGACAGTTGATAGTATGCTCAGTACTCTTCTCCTGCACCACAACACAAAGGCATTGATTATTTTTTCTGTCATTCACTGTCCAGCTCTTCAATGTATAGTACGAAACTGAGAAGACAGTGCTAAATCAGATACACCTTAACATTTAGACTAACACTGTTGCTCTTTAGCACTCTGTAGAGGTCTTTGACAGCATATTATCCCAATATAACTTGTGTTTTGATTTTCTGACTGCTAATACTAATAGTGTTGATTGTGGATTCAAACAAGATGAAATAGTTAAGAGCTTCAATATTTTTCTCCTTCTATCATGATGCTTGCTGCCTATTGGCCCAGTGGTGGGAAATTCTGTTTTCCTGATGAGATGCAATCTATGTTAAAGGCTGCAGCCCTTGATCTTCTGCAGCAAATGCATCAAGTCCTCCTAAGTTTATCAATTACTTGCTATGCATCAGAAAGATGGTCAA